ATAGCTCTGGGTTCATCCAGGTTCTCGGATATCAAAATTTTCCGAGATGTTCCATTCAGCCTGGTGACCTGGAATAAAGCATGATACAATATGAAAATACAACATACTTTCAGTTAAACATTGTTTATAACCATCTGAACTGTTTGTTCACATCTGGCTTTTTTCTTATTATGAATAGGGCCGAACAATTAATCTAAATGTTAGACTGCAATTTTCAATTTGTTTAAAGCAAGGGTTGGTAATGTTGTACAAAAATATTTTTTTATATATTTGTTGAAATTATCATTCAATTCTGACAGCAATCAATAAATCAAATGCTCTGAGACAAAAATATATATATTTTTTAATTTGGCCCGATTGGAAGGATTAGACGGCCTACCTGCGTGCACTCTTCACTGGAGTCTTCCACAAGCTGCTAGCTTGACAGCTTTGAGTACTTACAGTAGCCATGTTGGTTGTTTATGTTCATAGTGAAATATTTTGGGGGCGCGGCTTTTGCGGGAGGCCTGAAGAGATGGGCTGTCAGTGTTGTCGGCTTCCTCGCTAGCTTGAGCCCCTTTTGGAGCTAGCGCTGTTAGCTACTTTCATTGGAAAAGAGTTAGCGACACCGGGTTGGGTTTTTCTGTTGGATCATTTTTAAAATCTAGCATATTCTTGCTGGTTTTTTGAAGATTACAAACCCAAGCATTAAAAAAATTTGAGTCAAAATACCATTGTAAATGGAATATGTTGTGGAAATGAAAATGAGAATAATGATGTAAAAAATGATCATTCCCTCGAATAAAGCTAATCATATCGCAACAGTCAAAATAGTCGCAATTAGATTTTGTTATTATTTGTCAGCCGTAATTGCGAATCGCCCCATGATGGTTTTATTCTGTGTTAAGCTGCACAGGATAAACCAGTGAGGCCTGACTGGGACTGCATTCCTATTTATCAAGCAATAATAAAGTACACCACGACAGCAGTCAGTGTTGTAGATATTCATTTCAAGAAATTATTGTGACAAAGTACCTTGTTAGCAGTAGTTAGTAGTAGAACCCTAATGTAAAGCTGTACCTCAATCCGGTCAGTGCCAGTGTCGGTCCAGTATAGGTTTCTGGCCACCCAGTCCACAGCTATACCGTCCGGGTGGTTGATCTCCGTAGTAACCAGCATCACGGCATTGCTGCCATCGATGTGGGATCGCCGGATGGCCCGAACCTCATCGTCCGTCCAATAGACGTAACCCTCGACCGGGTCATAGTCTATTGCGATGGCATGGCGAATGTCATCAACCTGACAACCATGAGCAACCATGAGCAACAACCATGAGCAGAGGAACAATGACGAAGATGTGAGGGGGCAACGAGACCGGATGATACGTCTGTGTGTGTGTGTGTTTACCTGGAGTACTATGTCAGTGAAGTCTGGCAGGTCCAATGAGATTCTCCTCAGGTCAGTCCGTCGAGCCAGCAGCAAAACCTGCTCTGCTCCTAAACAAACCAGACATGTTTCGTTGATTGATAAGGGTCACAGGAGGGTTTGTGACAGACATAGGATACGCATTCCTCCCTTCCCTCTCACATAATCCGTAGTTCTCTCACAGCCCAACAGCTAACTAGCTAGCTAGCCCTACCACATCTACCGGCATCAAAATTAGGAAGTCAGTGGTAGTAAAGCTTGCTTCTTGCTTGATTCGATTAGCTGTCTGGGCCAACTGTGACATTGAAGAGCGGTGCGACTCTGCGTCTGGCTCTGAAAAGCTTTTTTCTATTATTAGAAAAACTTTTATGTGGGTTGAAAAAGCGACAAAAAAACGCGCGAGGCCTTTCTAGCGGCGCGTCTCGGTGTAATTGAGGCCTAAAACAGTCCAAACATTTGTAAAAAGGAAGATATCTCTCCAAAATCCAAGAACTAGATAGCTAAAATTCAAATTAGTTTTTGGAAATTTGGATCAACCTTTCAGAACCAACACAAATACCACATGATCTATATGGTCCAATGCAAATATCTATGCAAGTAGCATGAACGTACAAACGTTTCATAAAGTTTGATGAGATAAAGATGAAATGATATGAAAACCAATGTTGTCAAAAGTAAGTAAATAGAAAATATAATTAAAATCTGTGGGAAAGATCCTTCCCATTGATAATAATGAGGGATATTTACAGTTTCTTTTTCCATCTTGAAACAAAATGAAGGGACATTTTGTTCAGTTGTTTTTAAAGGTGCTCAAAACGATATCCAGAGCATGTCTGTTGTCTCAACACGGCTCTCAACATGGCGACGGCTGAGCCGGCGGCTAGCAGCTTCTGGTGCTAACAGCGCTTATAAACTGATGGTACAGTATATCATGTCTAACAAGGTTTTGATATCAGACTGATGAGCCCTAATGAAATTGTTGACAGCTGTGCACTTTTTAACATTAGCTCAGTCTGACTAGAGGTCCTCACAATCCAAAACAGACCCATGGTAAACCTACTAACACCTGACTGCGTGAATAGTTTTTACAAATAGAAAGACCTGATCGGATGTGGGCACATCAGACCTTACTCAAGGATACTAGACCCAATCCAAAATGTGTTCAACCCAAACAGACCCTAACAGCAGCGGTAGAAGATCCTTTACTTAAGTCAAAGTAAGTATCGATAAAATACTCCCCTACAAGTAGCAGTATTTTAAACTAAATGTACTTAGTATCAGTCAAAGCAGTGGTTATGCAATTAAAATGTCCCCTGTGACTGAAATATTAGTATGTAAGACATTATCAGATTGTTAATACTGATGTATCAAATTCGGAGCAGTATGTTACTGTTGTAGCTGCTCAAGTTGGAGCTAGTTTTAACTACTTTAGATCCAGTTAGCTCCAAAAAGTCACGAGCTAAATCTGAGGGGTCGAGAGTCAGTATCATTATGAACTTGACAGCAGACATTTTTCCCCCCATTGGGGAAAAATGTTCATTTCTCCAAAGCTTGTGTTATTAAAGTATAGATGTCAAGGCACCATCCAAGCAGACCCAAGTCTGAGTACGTGGTATCTGGATTAGAGCCAAACCCCACGGTCCAATAACAATCTGTTTCCAAACAAAACAAAGGTCTGCTTCGCAACGACTTTTCTCTAATCTTTGCTTCTATATTCATGCTAAAAGTAGGATAGTTGGACGTTTTTGGGCTTCAAACAATGTGAGAGGTTCAGGGGGGAAAATGTCTGTTTGGTGGAACAGCTAACAACTCAGAGATCTGATACGTGGTTTAATCTTTAACAATTCAGAATATTTTATGAGCTTATCATGTGTTGTAAAAGCATAATATGAAAAGTTAGTAGTAACTACAGCTGTGAAATAAATGTGGAAAGTACAACACTTCCTACCGAAAGATAGTGGAGTAGAAGTATAAAGTAGCATGAAATGTAAATACGCAACAAAAGTAAGAGTTCCTCGAAATTGTACTTTAAGTAATGAAATGAAAAGTGCATTTTCGACCCTATTAGATCACATCATATGACCGGGGGAGGGATTGCCTCCACACAGCTCTCAACATGGGGACTGCTGAGCCAGCGGCTAGCCGCTCAGGGTGTTATTAGCGCTAAGAATGCAAACAATAGCAACGGTGCTTACAGAGCTATCAGTGTTTACCTGATGGGGATGCTACGTTTCTGCAGTGACGTTATCAGCTGTAACCGGCATATGAGCGCAGTGCATAGCGGCGGCTGTGAGCCGTGGAGCGCAGTGCATAGCGGCGGCTGTGAGCCGTATGAGCGCAGTGCATAGCGGAGGCTGTGAGCCGT